GGAAAGCCCCCAATACGCTCCTTGCCTGGCCACAGACCCAGAGAAGCTACAGTGGAGAAGAGGGGCAAGGCGGGAAAGGGGGGGCAGTTGGCAGAGCCCACCCCTCCTTCTGGAAACAGAGATCTCCCTCTGGCCCTTTCCCAGGCCTCCTTTCCCTCCTCATGCTCTCATCCAGACCAAGTATTCAGGGTCCCGGCCTCACTGTCTCTGGGGATAGGAATGAACAGTCCTCCGCAGGCCCAGCCAGAGCCCTAGGGATCTTGTCCTCTGTGTCCCCCAGTACCTTACATGTCTGCACTGTGTTCCTGCCTCATCTCCCCACCTGAAGTCCAGGCGGTCTTCCCTTCTTTCCTCTTCCTGCATTGGACGCAGCAACTGTTCTTGTTCTTCATTCTCTGACAGGCCTGGCCTCTGCCATGGGCCCCTGACCCAGGTGGAAAATTAGACTTTGGGTGGCTGGGAAAGAGCAGAAGCCCAGCCCCCTCTCACGTGGTGCAGAATTCCTGTTCTCATTCTGTGTTCACTGCTGTGCCTGGCTGGGCTGTGGTACGCGGGTACAAAAATGAAGCAGTCATGGTCTCTATCCTCTAGCACTCAGTGTTTGACAGGAGGAGTGATTTTGTGGAGAAGCCACTTTCCTCCACCACAGGTAGTCAGTTGCCTGAAATTCTCTCCATAGAATTCTTAGGTGTCCTCGGCAGAGGTCGAGGGAAGGGCTCCAGAAGGTCAGAACCTTTCACCATGCCATGTTATTTCAGAGGGCCAGAGGTGAACTCCAGAGTTTCCGAGCAAGCACTGATATATTCCTAGCATCTGCCACCAATTCTGGAGTTGTAAATGCTTGAGTTTCTGTCCTCCATGAGGCCATTTATTCTGATTTTACCTCTCTTGAGCCTAGGGAAAGCTGGAAGGTGGGGCTTGTGCTAGGGTTATGGGATGGGATGAACAAGGCTTCATCCCTCAACAACATCCTGTGTGAGTCACAGGCTCTGACCCTGTCTTCTCTCAGCTCTTGACTTTGCTGAAAACTGAGAATCCTGAAGGTGTTTGTTCCAGCTCATCTTTATGCCCTCAACCCTTTGTTGTAGGACTTTGGTCAGCACTATGAACTCACACTGCTCTGGGACAGGTAGGAGCCTTAGGGGACCATGGAAAGGACCTGTTCCACCTAAGTCAGGATGTGTGTACGTTAACCTTGGCTTCCCACATGATGCTGCTGTGACCTTTCTGGGTCATTCCCTTCATGCTGCACCCCCTTCCCCTTTATCTCCTTGCTCTGTGGCTGTCTGCCCAACTCTCACCAGGCAGGGAGGATGTGCCTGTCACAAGACCTCCTATGATCTCTGGGGATGCTTTAGGAAAACACCTGGAGGGTGTTGACTCAGCAAGCTTGGGCCTTGTGCCTCCTCACTCTGAGGGCCACAACAGGGGCTGGGCTCCCATCCCTTAGGCAGAGTCACCATTCAGAGGAGGAACACATTCATGCTTCTCTCCATCCTGAGTTTTCTGCATCCTGGTAGCAGTGGACACACTGGGTCCTATCAGAGGAAGAGAGTCCTGCCACCACCTCTTGGTTTGATGGGATGTTGAGTCATCCTGGATTTCCTTAGGAATTAGTAAGGCAGGGGCATCCCATAATCCTCCATAGCACATTATAGGGAAACTATAGCACTTCTTCCACTTCCTTGAGCTCTTGGCTCCTGTGAGGTAGGTCAGAAGGTGGGAATGCAGAGATGCCACCTTTTGAGAGATACAGAGAGTCCAAAACAGAGATTCTTTCCATCCACTCAGGGATGCCTCTTTGTCTTTTTGCCTTCCAGTTCTCTCCTCCCACCTCCAAACTACCCTAGTCCCTGGGTGGACACCAGGAACCACAGCTTCCCTATTTCTCTGTCTCAAGCCCCCTCCTCTTCCTTATGCTCCATGCATTTAGAGCTTTCCCTGCCATCTCTTCTACTGTGTTCCAAGAACAACTGTTTCACACTTATGGTCACCAAGTTCAACCACTTTTTCTGACTACCTGGGCTCACTGACTTCTTAGGTCCTAAAAATAACTAACCATGGTAATTTCTAGAATTCTGCTCCACCCCTGGCTTTGGCTTTCCGTTTTGTCCTTCCCCCCATTTGCTATGATCCTTTTCCAGCTCCTCTTTCTCCCCTCTAGATCTTTGTCCCCACTCTCTTAATTGTGGGGAAACCTTTCTTCTCTTGATATACAAAGTCCTCCCTCATTAATGTCACCTTCTCTTTACTTAACCACCAGTGCAGTGTCTGTGCTTAGTCAAGGACAACCCCTCTTTTTGGGGACTCACTCCTATTCTGTTCCTTTGCTCTCCTGCATTGTCAATTTATTCCTCTCCATTGGGTCTTTTCCATCAACATCCAACATGCTATGTCTCCCACCTTTAAAGACCCTGCTCTATGTCCTAATTTTTCTGCATGTCTGTGGAACAGAATTCCTTGAAACAGTTGATTATACTTGCTATCACCAATTGCTCTTCCATTCTCTCTCGAATCCACTCCAGTCACACCTTCATCTCCACTACTCACCTAAGTCTATTCTTCTCAAGGCATGAATGATCTCTATGTTGCTTAACCTAACAATCATCTCTGTCCTCATCTTACTTGGTTGATTGGCAACTTTTTCATGCAGTTGCTCACTTTCTCCTTGCAATACTCTTCTTTCTCAGGTCCAGTATATTATACTCTTCTGCTTTTCTTCCTACCTCAGTGGCTACTACTTTGCAGTATCTACTTACTGGTTCCTGCATTTCCCCCTTCCCCTGATTTGTTAATGTTAGAATGTCTCAGAGCCCAGTCCTTAGATCTCTCCTTCATTTACACTCATTTCTTTGGTGATCCTATCCAGTCTCATGGTTTTACATCTACCTATCTATCATCTATTATCTATCTATCTCTCTCTCTCTCTCTCTCTCTCTCTCTATCTATCTAATCATCCACAGCCAGCCAGGACCCTCCCTGAGGACCATCAGGCTTCTGTGTTGAGAATAGGCTGTTGATGGTCTCAGAAAGTAGCTGGGAAGTTAGTTATGAGGCTACTACAGTAATCATAGCAGCAGACAGAGTGAGAAGTGGTCATGTTCTCAATTCATTTTGCAGGTGGAGACAGCAGGATTTACTGCTGGATTGGATATGGACTATGGAAAAAAAGTCAAAGATGACACCAATATTTTTGTCCTGAGAAAATGATAAGATGGAGTTACCATTAAGTGATATGGTAAATACCGTCCTGGAAGTGTGTTTTGTATGTGTGATTGACTGATGGTGATGGGTGGGGAATCAGTTGTTCACTTTCCTGTAGTTTGAGATGAATATTGGACATCCAAACATATATTCTGATTAGATAATATTGGTGGCATGTGAGACTCTATCCCAAGAGATCAAGACCTCCATTGTATAAGTCCTCTGTTTTCTTCATTGTGGTGTTTGCCATAGTAAGTATTAAAATATTTTTATTGTTGAATCTAAGATGCTTCTCAAAGTCATTCTTACTGTGATCCTTCTGGGATCATCTTAGCTGAGTTCTTCCTCCTGTGACAGGATCCCCCATTCGATAGAACTCATCATACAAATGTAGTGATTTGGCTGCTCCTCAGCTTAGAATTTTGTTTCAAGTTACTATTAAGGTATTACTGTGGATCAGCCACTATTCTAAGCCCTGGGGATATGAGCCATTATTTAAACTATTCAGACAAGAATGGATGGAAACTGAATACAAACAGAGGCAGTAAAAATAGAGGAAAGGGGCAAAGTTGAGAAATATCAAGCTTAGAACTCAGTAACTAACTTCATATTTGGGCTAAGCAAACAATGTACTTCTAGTTACACCATTACAAGACATTGGGTCACAGTTTGATAGGGTCCAAGGTGAGTGTTCTGATTTTGAATTCATTTGCATTGCCTTTGGACAGCAAGGCTCAGCCCATTGCTCTTTATCACACTAAGGGCAAATAGATCAAAGCTCAGATTTACTCACCTACTTCCCCCAAAAGCACTTGAACCTTGGGTTGGCTTCCTGGCTCCAGGCTCTTTTGAGTGCAAAGTAAATTGGCTTTGATATGACCAGGGTATGATAAATACCCTGGTCAGGAACAGTCAGCCTCTGTCCCAGGTACTCAGACCTCCATCTACATGCTCCCCTTCCCTGATTCTCTCCCCGCCTGCCCTTGGGAGGGGAGGACAAGCCCCTCTTCATGGCCTACTGTGATCTTCATTCCAAGGGTCACTCATTCCATGCAGCTGGCCGGCAGTGGAGGCGGGATATAGGCAAGAGAGTTACAGCAGCTTCCCAGGTGAATTCTCCAGAAAGATCTTGCCAATAACCAACAGGGAGCAGAGCAGGGGAGATTCTATCGTTTGCTTTTGACATCCTGTCATATTAGCTACATGCTTTTGAATAAACACAAAGTACCTCCTCAAGGTGGGAGTGCTGTGGCACTCCTCTGAAAACCTCCCCTGCAGACCGTGGGCCTTTACGGAAGTCATCAGTGAATTGTGCCTGTGGGATTCCTGGCCACTCCTTCTCGCCACTACTATCCTCGTGTCCACATTGCTCCTCTGGGCCTAAGGACACCAATGGGAAGCCATGATAGAATTCAAGCCTGACCTTTATTTACCTTACCTTCCTTCTCTGCTCAAGCCCCTTTATCCACAGTCCAGGGTGGGCTGGGAGGAGTTGTGTGGAATGCTGACCCAGCTTAAGTGTGGGTTAAAGCTCCTTCTCTAGATGGGAAGGACATTTTAGCCTCCCCTTGTACCTTCCCTTAACACACCACAGTGGAGAGAAGGAGGAGACAGTGCTTTGCTTAGAGACATAGAGTGTATTTTGGGTGGCACTCTGCCCCACCTGCACACTAATGAAAATGGCAGTAGCAGTCCTCTTCAAGGGACACAGATGTTGGGGGAGCCTACCAAGTCTTTTGACTGTGTTGGGTCTTCTTGAGCAGAACAACGTTTCCCTCTGAGGTGAGAGGTGAGATCTAGGGTACATTCCTTGGTTGGGTGGCACAAGCCACTCGAGGACAGTGCCGAGGGCAGTGGCGGGGGTGGCCCAGGACTGAGGCAGAATGGAGTTGGTGAGAGCGGGAGCGGTGCCGGAGCTTACTGTCTGGGGAATGGGGACCATCCAAGAAGGCCAGGCCCACCTGCTTCTCAGTGGGGGAAGATCGGGCCTTGGAGTCCCCTCTTATCCTCTCTGTCTTGGTTCGCCCCATGGGACTTTTGGCTGGAGCCAGGCCCTTTTCCACATTTTCTTTTCTGGTGTTGGCCACTTTCCCAGCTATAGAGAACACGGATTCCTCATGCACTTTGCCTTTTGCCTTGGAGTTAAAACAGTGCAGAAAGGATTTCATCTTACTTCTCAAGCCTGATTCTGGAAGGCTGGGCCTCTTGTGGGTATGGACTGGCATCACCTGTCCCTGCAAAACCTGACCTTTCAAAGTCTGGCCCTGCAAAGGCTTACTGTGAATGAGTTGGCCCAGGAAAAGCTGGCCCTGTGATGCCTGGGGCACCACAGGTAGGGCATTCTTAGGAATCCTTGCTGGTTTGAGGATGACATTAAGCTTGGTTTGACTGCTGTGCAGGTCATTCTTCTCAGATACCTTCACCCCAGGGATTCCTGGAGGTGGCTCTGGAAGCTTAATCTGAGGGTGGTGCCGGGTACTGTGTTCACAGGGAGCATCAAGAGGAAAGCTATGGCTCCGTCGCCAGGGGCTATGGGGTGTCCTGTTCAGAAGTATCCCTTTTGGCCTCTGGGCTTCATCAGGGAGGTTTATGTCTCTTGTAGAGGAGTGTGCAAACCCTGCATCCCCTTCTCCGTGGTCCCCTGCCAATTTGGGTTTCCCTGGGTCCCCTCTCTTTTCTGCCAGCATGGGGACTTGGGCTGAGTCCTTGTCCTGGCCAGGGCTTTGGGGCTCAGGGCTCCAAGGCTCCTCCAGGCTGGGGCTGCTCACATTGGCCTCCAAGTGAACACAAAGCACCTGGGCCTCTGTCATGTCCCCACTGGGTTGTGAGGTCCAGTGGGCAGAACCATGAGGTGTTGGTCTTGAACTAGGTTGCTTCTGGTTCTGCTGCACTGCCTTTAACTCAAGGGCCAGCTGTTCTTTAAGGTGGAGCCATTCTGGATCTGCGACATGAGGAGTGTCTGGTGGGATGGGGAGATCCTGGAGCAATGCTTTTCCTTGGTTGTTTAGACTCCCTAGAGACTCCTGTGTGGATGTGTTGTCTGGGGTTGCTACAGTTTGTTCTCTGGACAACCTTGCCTTTATGGGAACTCCCAGTTGTATCTCTAGGATCTTCTTTCTTAGATGGAAATTTAGTTTGGCTAAAATGGGTTTCGTGAGTGTGTAGGGCCCAGAGGCCTCTGCCTGGCTTTCTAGAGGCACCGTCTTGATCATTTCTTCCACCTGCTCTTCGACCTGGAGCTCATCTTCAATGTCTGCACAAGTCTCGTTGGCATCTTGAAAGCATGGCCCAGGACTCAGACACTGCTCTTCAGATGAGATCATCTGAGTCAGAGGTTCACTTGGGAATTTACCAGGTCCAGGCACCATTCCTGCGATTACAGGTTGGGTAGAGATTGCCGGTGCCATGGTCCTAGAGAGAGCCACATAATAAAGAGCAGGCAGCCCTGACAAGAAGGCCAGGTACTTGTGCTGCAAAGTTGTCTCCAGTTTCTCAATGGCTCCCTCGGACAGGGCTTGGGACAGCTTAGTGTGTTCAGTGACAGCATCTGTTGAGGCTTGTTGCTGTTGATCAAGGGCCATTGGTATCCAGGGCACAGTTTTTTGTTTTAGGGCAGGGTCAGTTGCTGCCTGTAGCTCCAAGGGCTTGCTTTCTGGGATGCAGGTGAAGGGAGCCACTTGCAGGCCCCCAGGAATTATGCACTGCCAAGAGCTATATACACGAGCAGGGACCTTGCCCTGGTGAATCTGCCCACATTTGAAGTTGATGTGGCCCTGCAATATTGCCTTGGCCTGGTCAAACAGGTGTGGCATGGAGTCTGACACTGGGTCTGTGGTGGGTGAGAATGGGTCACTGGCCCCAGTGGCCTCTAGGGCTGTAGGTTGGGGAGCATGCACAGCATGGACAGCATGGACAGCTGTAAGTTTATGTTCAGGGCAAAAGCTATAACAAAATTAGCTTGCTTATGACCAACCACATATTGGGCTGCAATACAGATCCATGCTGTGCATCAGAAGGTTCTCTGTAATTGTTTTCTGATGAGAAGAATAGCTACTTTCCTCCAAAGCAGTGTTTTTCAACCTTGGTGATTTTTCACCAAATAATATCACGCCAAAATCTGTGAATGTTTTGTCCAATGAAAAATAAAGATGATATAAGTTTACCTCTATAATATGCCACTTTTACTCACTTCCTTTCAGATGTTCTTGGCTGTGTGGGGGAGAAAGGGGTAAAGTTACAGCATGTGTGCTAGAAATTGTGCACTGGAGTATACTGAGCATTTTAGTATCATTTGTCAATGTATTGGGGCAGGAAAAAAGGTTGAGAGCCACTTCTCTAAACAACATGTCCTGCCAAAATCAGGTAATCTTTGGCACAGGAACATTTCTAGTAGATGGAAGAGGGGGTATCACATGTCAAAGTATTTTTTCTTTCTTTCTTTTTATATATATACCCAGGTCCAAAACATACTCATTAATTGCCTGCTCCCCCAGCCAGACAGGTGTTGAACAAGAACACATGGCTTACGTACAACTTGACAGGAATACTTTAGCACAAGGACAGAGGACACAAGGCCATCTTCTAACTAGCAGGCTTAGGCAGAAGCTAGTACTATTGCTGGGATGGATGCTAAAGGAGTAGGGTGGGTGTACTGAGCACACTGAAACAGAGGAGGGATTAGAGCAAAGAGCTGACAACTGACAGACTAATTTCCATGACTCATAGCAGAGGAGAGGGCAGGAAGAAGCTGAAATAGGCTGAATATCAGGTCTCCATAGTTAAGGTATTACTAATTCTGATCAGACCTTCTATTATTGCTCCCCTATACCTGGCTTCTTGGCTCAACAGCTACACTGGCCAAACTTGGTGAGCCATGACCAAGAGGATGAGCAGAGTGGGCTACTCTATTTTCCATCCACCATTAGTTTCTTTTGCATAGGCTAGCTGGTTCACTGGGGTATAAGAAAGAGCTATAGGTCTTCTCTTGAGAGAATTAAAAAAATGGTATTTAATATCTTTTGGGAAAATGATATTTACAATAAGAAGTAGCTAGGTAGAACACTGATGTGATAAGGTTAGGTGAAAAAACAAGCATGTGTAATTATTTGAACATTACAAGTATAGCTGTGTAAAAATATACCCATAAGAAAAAAGACCAGAAAGAAATAGCCCAGACTGTTGGCAGTGATTGTTAGGGAGGTAAAGCTGTTAATTATATTTTTTCCATTTCTGAATATGTCACTTTACTTCTATAGTTTCAAAAAGCACATCAAAGTAAACAATTAGGGAGCTGCCAATCCAATGATAGATTGTTTATTCAAACCATCCTCCTGCTAAGAACAATTAGAGACGATGGACTCTGAAAAACAAACTGAGGGTTCTAGAGGGGAGGGGGTTCGGGGGATGGGTTAGCCTGGTGTTGGGTATTAAAGAGGGCACATTCTGTGTGGAGCACTGGGTGTTATGCACAAACAATGAATCATGGAACACTGCATCAAAAACTAATGATGTAATGTATGGTGGTTAACAATAAAAAAATTATTAAAAAAAAAAAAAAAGAAAAGACTGACAAATTTTTAAAAAATTTTGTTTGAGGCATGATCCTTGAAGGCACAGACTGGGAGAAAATACTTGCAAAAGACACATCTGATAAAGGGATGTTATCCAATATATAAAAAAACATAAGCAACCCCATTAAAAAATGGGCCAAAGACCTTAACAGACACCTCACCAAAGAAGATATATGGATGGCAAATAAGCACATGGAAAGATGCTCCACATCACATATTATCAGGGAAATGCAAATTAAAACAGTGAGATACCACTACACATCTGTTGGAATGGCCAAAATCCAGAACACTGACAACATCAAATGCTGATGAGGATGTGTAGCAACAGGAACTTTCAGACACTGCTGATGGGAATGCAAAATGGTGCAGCCACTTTGGAAGACAGTTTGGTGGTTTCTTACAAAGCAAAACATACTCTTATTATATAATCCAGCAGTCATCCTCCTTGGTATTTATTCAAGGGAATTAAAAACTTATGCCCACACAAAACCTGCACACAGATGTGTATAGCAGCTTTATTCATAATGCCAAAATTTGGAAGTAACCCAGGTGTCCTTCAATCGGTGAATGGAAAATAAACTGGTACATTCAGACAATGGAATATTATTATTAAGCACTAAGAAGAAATGAGCTATCAAGCCACAAACAGACATGGGGGAAACATAAATACTTATTACTAAATGAAAGAAGTCATACTGAAAAGGCTATATACCATATGATTCCATCTATATGACATTCTGGAAAAGGCAAAACTGTGGAGACAGTTAGATGGTCAGTAGTTACCAAGGATTAGGGAGGAGGGGAGGATGAATAAGTGGAGCACAGAGGATTTTTAGGGCAATAAAACTATTCTCGTGTGATGCATAATGGTGGATACATGTCATTATACATGTGTTCAAACCCATAGAATGTACATCAACAAGGGTGAACCCTAAGATAAACTATTGCCTCTAGGTGATAGTGATGTGTCAATGTAGGTTAATCTATTGTAACAAATGTACCACTCTGGTGCAGGATGTTGATAGTGGGGAAGGCTGTGCATATGTTGGGAGAGGGGTATATGGCAAATCTGTGCCCTTTCTCTCAATTTTGCTATGAACCTCAAACTGCTCTAAAAAACAAAGTCTATTCAAAAATCTGATTTGTGTATGTGCTGCTGAAGCGAGCACTAAAAAATCTGATTTGGATGAAGTGATGCTCAACATCATTCATCATCAGGGAAATACAAACCAAAACTGCAATGAGATATTACCTCATACCTATCAGAATGGCTAAAATCAACAACACAAGGGCGCCTGGGTGGCTCAGATGGTTAAGCATCTGCCTTTGGTTCAGGTCATGATCCCAGGGGCCTGGGATCGAACCCCGCATCAGGCTCCCTGCTCAGTGCAAAGCCTGCTTCTCCCTCTCCCTCTGCCATTCCCTCCACTTGTGTGCTCTGGCTCTATCTCTCTGTCAAATAAATAAATAAATAAATAAATAAATAAATAAATAAATAAAATCTTAAAAAACAACAACACAAGAAACAACAGGTGTTGGAGCAGCCACTCTGGAGAACAATATGGAGGTTCCTCAAAAAGTTAAAAATAGAATTACCCTATGATCCAGCAATTGCACTACTATTTATCCAAAGAATACAAAAATACTAATTCAAAGGAATACATGCACCCCAATGTTGATAGCAGCATTGTCTACAATAGCCAAATTATGGAAACAGCCCAAGTGTCCATCAACTGATGAATGGATAAAGAAAATGTGATATATATATATTTAATATGTGATATTCATATTACTCAGCCATAAAAAAAAGAATGTAATCTTGCCATTTTCAGTGACATGGATGGAGCTTAGAGAGTATTATGTTAAGTGAAATAAGAAAAAGACAAATACCATATGATTTCACTCATGTATGGAATTTAAGAAACACAACGAACAAGCATAGGGGGAAAAAAGACAGAGAGAGGCAAACCAAGAAACAGACTATAACTATAGAGAACAAACTGATGGTTACAGAGGGGTGGTGGGTGGGAAGATGGGTTAAATGGGTGATGGGGATTAAGGAGTGCATGTTGCGACAAGCACTAGGTGTTGTATGGAAGTATTGAATCACTAGATTGTACACCTGAAACTAATATAACACTGTATGGTAACTAACTAGAATTTAAATAAAAACTTAAAAAAAAATCTGTTTGAAGGCAATACCCAAACAGTGAGGAATTATGGGTCCAAGACTCAAGTGAGAAGGAAAGTTTTCAGAGATTAGTGTGACATTTAGTGCTGTCCTTTCCCTTAAGGCTACTGTCAATGACAAGAACCAAGAGGCTGAGAAGCTGAGCAGAGAATTTCACAAATTCACAGGATAGAGGGAACAAGAATTGGAGTCAGGGCCTGATAAGGAGGAGGGGCTCCGGTAAACACCGTAGGCTTTTTGATTGAGACCTGGGGGGGCCCCTATCAGTAAGTATGAATCGTAAAGAGACAAGCCCTCACAGGGATGGAATCCACTTTGAATCCTCTCAGTCTCTGATTTAACTAGATGATCTGGGATCACCAGTGCCTCTAGCTCACTTTCCAGCCATTAAACACCAAAACCTGATAAGGAAAGAATGAGAAAGGAAAATCACAAGCTAATCTAATTTATGAACATAGATCTTATGAGCCTAAACAAAATATTACCCAACCAAGTCCAAAAATATATAAAAACAAGAACATGCTATGACTGAAATGGATTGAGGGAGTGCAAGGCAAGTTTATGACTGAAAAGGCAATCAATGCAATTCATATTAAAAGAATTAGGAAGAAAAATTAAGTGATCATATCGATAGATGTAGAAAAAGAAGTTTATAAGATTAAACATCCATTCATGACAAAATTTTCTCAAAAGAGGAATAGAAGAAATCTGATAAAGAATATCTCCTAAGCAAACATTATATTTAAAAAGGAAATGTTGAAAGCTTTTCCCTTGAGATAAGGAATGAGACAGGTATGCTTGCTATTACTCTTTATATTCAATCTTATACTGGAGGTTCTAGCCAATGTACTAAGGCATGAAAAAGAAGGAAGGGGTAATACAGATTGGAAAGGAGGAAATAAAGCAGCCATCATTCACAGAGGACTTGATTTATATGTTGAAAATCTGAGAGAATCTTCAGATAAAAATTATTAGAATAAATAAGAGAGTTTAGCAAGGTTACTAGATAGAAGATCAATATATAAAAATCAATAGATCTGAAACTATTTCAAAAAATTGAAATGGAAGGAAAACTTCCAAATTCTTCCAAACTCATCCTATGAGGCCAGCATTACCTTGATCCCAAAATCAGACAAAGACCCCACCAAAAAGGAG